GGCGGCCTACCTCCCACCCGGGGCCAAGCATAGGCAGGGCTGCCCAGCGCCTGGCTGACCCCTGCCAGGGTCCAGGCCCCAGGCCAGTCTGCCAAGCCCCTGGCGAGGCCTGCGCTGCTCCTGCATGGACAGCCCCTCCTCCTGTGTCAGAGCCCCGCAGCCCAGGTGGCTTGCCAGGGCGGGCTGTGGTGTGGAGGCCTTGCCCCTCGTGTGCGGCTCCCTCTGCACCTGCCGGGGAGGCCAGATGCTGCAGCAGCCACGGCGCCTCCCCTGGGGCCTGGGCAGGACGGGCTGGCAGCACCACGCCGCTCCGCCGGGCTCGGGGGCCGCTGCGCCCCCGCCTCTATCCGCCGCCCTCAGAGGCGGCAGCGGGGCCCTGGGAGGCAGGACGAGGGTCTGGGTGGTTACCCACCCCCACTGCGGGCAGGGGGCATCCCTGGGGCCAGGCCCGGGACCTCCAGTTCTGGTCCCCCATTTGAGCCCTGGGCAGGTGGCCTGCGCACCTGCTTCCGGGGGGCCCCTGCGCCGTGCCGGCCGCCCCCCGGCTGGCTGCTGGGGGCCCCACCGCCCAAGCCCCTGCGGAGCGCGCTGAGGGGCGCCCGTGCACGCGGGCCTACGAGGGGCCTCGGCCGCCGGGCCGCAGTGTCCCGTAATTACGCGCTGTGTGCAAACTGCGTTATATTTGGCTCCCCCCACGCACCAGGCTCTGTCTCCACGGAGCTCTCCCTCCCGCGTCACGTGCCGGCGTCTCCGTCCCCTCCTCCGCGGAGCTGCCAGGCGCCCGGCCTGGGGGGGGGGAGGCGATTTGGGTTGTTTCCAGTTTTCCGGTTATAAATAGCATCGCTCTGCATGTCTTTATTACAAATCCTTCCTCCGAAACCCTGAATAACTGAGCCCCGGGGGCACCCAGGACCCGGCGCGCGCATCCCACAAAGCCCTTCTGGCTTCCTGGCGGTCCCTCCGCGCAGCGCGGGCGGCGCTGCGGGCGGACGCCGGGCCTGGGGGTGGGGCACAGCCGGGCCCCCGCAGGGACGCAGGCTCGGGGCACACACGGAACCAGCCCCGGGGGGAGGGGCCACGCCGCGTCTCCCGACGTTTCCTTCCTCCGACGCGGAGGAGCGCGTGGTGCGCCCGGGCCCTGGTGCCGGGCGAGGACGGCTTGTTCCCTCCTCGGGACCATTGGGTTTGCTTGTTTCCCCATAATTCTCTCTGGCTTTTCTTAATTAGTACAGATATAATAAGTGAAAACATTCTTACTGTGCAAAGTTCAGCCCAGTTTTGACATTTCTTCTGCGGCATTCTTTTTCTTTTGAGTCAGGGTGCCGGGTTAGAACAAAGCCTGGCCTTGTGGGGCCCTGGGTCCAGGACGTGGTGCTGAGACCCGACCCAAGGCGGGTGTCGGACAGGAAGGGGACGCCTGGCCAGCCAGAGGCCCGGGAGGGAGCAGGGCTGAGCCCCAGCCAGGCCTGGGAGCACCCCAGGAGTGCGGCCTCTCACGGTGGGTGCGGTGCTGCCTAGCGAGGAGGAGGAGGCGGCCTCCAGGGCCCATCCCCGCAGGCCCTTGGGCTCAGCCTTCGGGCAGGACCCTGGCCACGTCCCAGCTCGCTGGTCGGCTTTGCTGCTTGGCTCGTTGAGGTGGCACAGACTCCCGCGGGAGCCTCGGGTGCCCAGCAGCGCGCAGGCGGTCAAACAGCAGAAAACAACCCCTCCTTGGGGGCCCTGGCCTCCGCCTCCTTCGCCCCGAAACGCCAGTGGCGCCAGGTGCGCCCTCGGCAGCTGCCACCCGGCCACCCGCCAGCGGCCGCTCTGCTGCAGGTCGGGGCAGAGCGACAGCGTGGCCTGGCGTGTTCTGTTGGTCTCGGGCGCTCGGCCTCCTCCTGCCGGGGGGACAGCCACTGTGGGGCCAGCACCGTGGCCCAGCTGCAGCCTTCTCTGCGCCTCAGGTTCCTCACTTGTAAAAGGAGGCAACCATACCCCCTCCTTGCAGGGCCCCTATAAAACCCTGCACAGCGGAGGGTAGCCCTCCGGAAGAGTTTCCTGTGTGCAGTGAGTATGCCCTACAATAAACCGTAGCTTGGTCTTCACCACCGTCACCACCGTCACCACCATCATCACCACCACCTTCATCACCACGTGGCCCTGCCACGGGCCCGCCTCCTCCTCCAGCACGGGCTGCCACATCGAGGGCCGGTGACCGGGGAGTGGTGGGTCAGGGTCTCCCTGCTCCGGGGGACCACAGCCTGCCCTTCCGGGCAGACGGCTGTGGCTGGGACCGGTGGCGGCGGTGACATCCCTCCCACGACAACAGACCCTGGGGGCGAGGGGACCAGAGGAGGCCGTGGCTCCCTTGGGAAAACCAGCCCGTAAGAAGCACTTTGGCTCTGCAGATGTGATGCTCGTTGCCATGGGGACCATCCTAACAATAACCTCCCAGAACTGATACTCCCCACACCCGCCTGAGCCGCCAGTTGGGAGGGAGTGCCCTCCTCACTGACGAAAGCCGGCCAGAAGGGACAAGGGGGTGGCGGAGAGGACGAGGGGTGTGGGGGGGAAGGTGGGGTGGGGGGCCGGAGACAGGAAAGAGGACTTCGGGCCTGGGGCTGCCCGGAGGTGGGGGCGCACCACGCTGCGAGTGGGGGTGAGGGTGGGGCGTGGAGGCAGGGACGCCTGGGCCCCCGCTGGCCCCACCCTCCCCACTGTGGAGCCCGGGTCACCCCGCCTGCCTGCCCCCGGGGTTCCTCTGGGTCACACCCTCAGTGCTGCAGCGCAGGGGAGGGCTGCCGGCGGGGGGACCCCAGGTGCTAACAGGAGTGGAAGGGGGGCCTCCAGCGGCACCCCTTAGTGACCCTGATTCCTGTGTGATTTTGGTCCTGGGCAGACTCCCCTCCAAGGAGAGGAACCTCAGAACAAACGACCAGAACGCAGCTGTGTCCCCACCGAGGGCCGTGGAAGCCACACACGTGCGAGTGTGAACGCATGCATGTATGAGTGTGTGTGTGCGTGTGAAAGTGTGTGTGTGCAAATGAAGGACAGGAGGCCGTTAAGGAGCAGTGGGTGTTAGTCCTGGGCCCCTCTCGGCAGGTGGCGCCGGGCAGGCCGGCCCCTCTGTGCGTCTGCCGCCCCTCCCCTCGGAGTGCGAGGGGGCGGTGCCCGCACGCCCCGCCCAGGGCCGTCGGAGAACTCGGCGAGATGCGACCTGCAGCGCGTGTGCGACCGAGCCGGCGTCCTTGTGGCTTTGAGGCCGCGTCCCCACGTCCTGGACTCCTCGCCTGGCAGGAACGGTGTGGCCTCGGCGGCGCCCAGGGGCGACCTCCTGCCACTGGTTCTCGCATGGCCGTCCACTGCGAGCCATCAGCCCCCCGCCCCCCGAGGGTCCGGAAGGTGGGGGCAGAGGCCCCGGTGGGTCTGGGCACAGTCCAAGGGGGGCCTCCCCGGAGAGGTGCGTCGCCCGCCAGGGTCGCTGCCGGGGTGGGGCTGGCCGCCCTCCGCTGTCCCTGCTGAGATCAAAGCCACGCCCCACACGGGCCCTCGCTGTCCCCGGCCGGGACCCACCGTCACCCCGAGTGGGTCCTCTGCCGTCTTCTGACTGTGCGTTGGGTCTGCGAGGTCTGCAGCACCACCCAGGACCCCGGCTGGCCCCCCGGGCTGCTGGTCTGCCGGAGGCCCCTCGGCCAAGGGCATGCTGGTGGGGAGGCCCGGCTGCCCCACCCCAGAATCCCTTCCATGTGAACTCTGACCCAGGAAGCACTTATTGTGGCCTTGGGGGCTGGTCCTGGGCTGGCACCCAGGCGGGAAGGAGCAGCAGGGGCTTGGAGCCCGCGGCCAACGTCAGCACAGCCGGGTGGCCGGGTCCCGAGTGGGCTGCTGGGGCGTCCTCTCTCAGGGCCTGCCCCGACCGACCCCGGCCTGGCCCCGGCCCCCGGGGAGGGGGGGGTGCCAGAGCCCACGGGCCCTCTGTGCTGTAGCCGAAGGCCCTGTTCTAGATGGCGCCTGGGCGTGGCCCTGGGGAGGCTCCTCGTTGGAGAAACGGGGTCAGCCCAGCCTGGGCCTCCCCCCGCCTCCACCCAGGGCCACTTTCAAGACGGACCCTCTCCGTCCCAGCCAGCGCAGCGGGCTGACAGGCAGACTGACAGGCATGTGCCCCTGACTGAAGGTGACCCCCCTCCCCCCACCGGCGGGGGCTGTGAGCTCTCGGACCCCGGACTCCTGATGGAGCAGCCCCCGTTCTCCTGACTCAAGGACCCTGGGCCTGAACTCACTTCCCTCCCTGGGACCCCAGTGCGGACACCGCAGTGCGGGGGGTGGGGCTCTGGGGGGGGGGTCAGCGCCCACGCTTCCCTGTCCCACCGGCGGTGTCCCCGGTGCGGCCCTGGTCCAGGCGGGACACTCCTGTGCAGCCCCGGGGGCCGGGGGCCAGACGCTGCCTGCCCAGGAGGCGTGGGGAATAACCCCTGTGGAGGGTGACACGGGTCCCTGGCCCTCGCTTGGGCCCAGCCCCTCTTGCAGTTCGGGGCAAGGCAGGCCGTCAGGGAGAGACAGGGCAGGGGCGTGCTACTACCGCGGGTGAGTGTGCGTGCGTGCGTGCTGGGGGCCACCAGCAAGGAGCAGGGCGGCCAGCTCAGGCAGCCGGCTGTGCCCGTGCGTGAGGCCCCGAGCCCCGGGCGTGTGAAGAGTGAGGCTGTGTGCACAGGGGCCCGTGTGCTAGTGGCAGGTGCGTGTGTAGGGGCGGGGGCGGTGAGGACGCAGGTGCGTGTGCAGGGGTGCAGGGAGCGGGTTCGGATGAGGGCGCGGGCGCAGGGCGTGTGCAGCGCGCGGGTGCGTGTTCGGGGCGCGGGCTCGGGTGCGGGGCTCGCGCAGGGGGCGGCGGGCGGGGCGGGAGCGGCGGCGGTGACAGCTGCGCCCGCGCTCCCCGCGCGTAGGTGTGCGGCGCGTTCCTGGCGGGGACGGAGCGCGCAGATCTCGCGTGCGCTCGCAGCCCAGCCCGGCCCCCGCCCGGCGCCGCGAGCCGAGGTGTCGCCCGCGCCCGCGCCCGTGTCGCCGCCGTGCCCGCGAGCGGGAGCCGGAGTCGCCGCCGCCGCCGCCGCCCGAGTGCAGAAGAGCGCACGCCGGGGCTGTCTGTCACCGCCATGGCCACCACGGCGACCTGCACTCGCTTCACCGACGAGTACCAGCTCTACGAGGATATTGGCAAGTAAGAGCCGCGGTGCGCGCGGGCAGGGCCGAGACCCCGGAGATCAGGACCCTCCGCGCCGCCGGCTCCGGGCGCACTGCGGCCCCGCGCGCCCCCGGCTCCTCCCGGCTCAGGGCCCGAAGCGTGTAGCCCCGCGCGGCCCCGACCCCTGGGCCCCAGGCCCAGCCGCCGGACCCTAGCGTTCGCGGCCTTGCCTGGCCCTGCCCGGCTCGGCCGCCCGGCCAGAAGCCCGGGGCTCTGGGCGCCGGGCTCGGCGCAGCGGGGGCGGCAGCAGGTGTCCTCGGAGCGCCCGGCAGACGTGACGCATTCGGCGGCCGGAGGTCAGGGAGGAGGGGCGCTAGGGGGTGGTCGCGAGGCCTGGAGAGCGGGGGAGGGGGCGGCCCGGGCCGGAGGGTCGTCCCCGAGTGGGCCTGTCTGTCCCCACCCCCACTGAGCAGCCGGGTGCGGGGGCGGCAGGACTTGCTCCGCGCTTGCTCCTCCGCGTGGCTCCATCCGCGCCGGGTGGCGGGGGGGGGGTGCTCGCCGCGCGCCGGCCCGCGTGGGAACAGCCTCTGCCGCGGGGGCCCCGGGGGAACCTGGGTTCTGGGGGATTCCCCCCCAGATCCTTCTGGAACGAGGAGTCTGGAGAGCTGGCGACTGAGGTCGGGAGGTGGGGTCAGGCCGGGGGCCGAGACTAGGGGTGCGGCGGGGAGCCTGGCGGGCTCTGGGTTTCAGGGTCACCGAGGCAGGCGGGGGCTGGAGCGACGCGGCGGCGGCGCTGGGGGGGGGAGGGCTGCGAAGGCGCGTGTCAGGACGGACCTCACCGGGAACAGGTGGCTCCTGCGCTCCGCTGTGGACCTGGGCGCGCGGGGCCCCGGCGCCAGCCCTGCCCGGGCTCTGCCCCGGCTCTGCCCCCGGGGCCGCCTGGGCCGTGCGCTCTGCGAGTCAGGGTGGCCGCTCCCGCCGGATGCTGCCAGAACCCATCCGCCTGCGTAGCCCTCCGTCCCTCCGCGGCGGCGGCGGCGGCGCCGCTGGTGAGGTTTCCTCTTAAACATCCAGGGGCCGACCCTCATTTTTCCTTCTGAACACGCGTCTGTGGTGAAACCTCGTCTCGGCGAGTGCTGCTGGTCGCTGGCGACGGCGGATGCCCAGCCGCGAGGAGCGGGGGCGGGGGGCGCGAATCCGCCGGCTCGCCCCGCACGTGCCGGGGGAAGCGCCAGCCCGGCGGCGGCGGGATGGTGAGGGGCGCCCGGTGGGGGCCAGGCCGGGCCCTGGGGACCCACAGAGTCCCTTCCCTCGGGTCGGGTCGGGGCTGGTTGGGTGCCCGGCCGCAAGGCGGGTGGACCTGGAGAGCAGAGGAGAGGGAAGGGGAGGGTCAGCCTTCCCCGTGCCCCCTTCCGCCCCCACTGAGGAAGGCCCTGGGCTGTTCGTGGGGGGGCAGCCGTAGGAGGAAGGGTCGCCCCTTCCAGGGTTGTGCTGTTTCTCTGCTTTGCACCCAGGGGCACCCTGCGCTTTCCCATGAACTTTTCTGTGGACCCTCCAGGTCCATGGCTGTGTAGGAGGCCCCCAAGGCCTGGCCTCTGGCTGCAGCAGCAGCCGCTTCCTGTGCCAGCTGTCACCCACTCCCGCACTGGGGAATGGAGGTCCTTGGGGCGCCCCCCTGGGTGGAGAGGGGGTGGCAGACCCCGCAGTGCATGCTGGGCTGTCACCCTCTCCGCAGGGACCGGAGCGGCGGGTGGCTGCCCACACAGTGGAGCCCAGGGACCCGGCCTGAGGGGGCAGGGAAGCCTCCCCGCAGAGGGGGAGACGCTCCGCCCGCTCACCCTGCACGTGTGAAGCCCCCGGGGGCCAGGAGGGCTTCGCTGCGGCCCGGCGCCCATTTGTGGAGCTCTGTAGGTGCCAGGCCCGGGGGGGCTGCCGGGGGGCCTGCCACAGCTCCACTGGGGCGCCCGGGTGGGGGGCGGGCGGGTCAGGCAGGTGCTGGGCAAGCCCGGGCCGGGTCCACCGTGGTCGTGTTGGCGGGCTGCTGATAGCGCCGGGCCAGTGGGAGGAGGCACAGTTGGTGCCGCTTCCTGGCCAGGTGGACGCGTCCAAGTTTATTTAAAGCTGCAGCCCCTGGCACCGGTCCGGCAGCAGTGAGCTCCTGCCCCGGGGGAGGGGGGCAGGCCGAGGGCCCACAGCTGCCCCTGTGATGTGGCCCCGGGGTGGCCTGCCCCCTCTGGCCTCCGTCCCTTCCCTCTACCACCCAGCCCAGCCGCTGCCTCTGTTCCGGAGGGTACCCTGGGGGCCTGGGCAGTGGGGTCTGAGGGCCCCTGCTGGGGACTCCCCTGTCCAGCTGGATGCCGGCCTGACTTGGCCCAGGTCCTGGGCTCCGAGCCGCCCCGAGCGGGGACCCCTGTCAGGCCCGGAGCAGGCGGGAAGGCTCGGCCAGCACAGGCTGGCCAGCAGTGTGGGTTTTAGAGTCTAGAGAACTTCCCGAGTAACAAAATAAACATTTGTATCTCTTCTGCCGCGTTCCTCTTTTCTCATTTCGGCTTTAAGCTCCCCTTCAGTTGCCTGCAGCAATGCCGTTGCTCTGGCGGCGGTCCTGCCCACGGTGTCTGTCCCTCCAGGTCTGGCCCGTGGGCGCCCAGGTGCCGTGTCCACAACTAAACTCGGGTCCCCCTGCGTCCCTCGAGCCTTCACACGGGCGTCCTGGAGCTGTCTGCCCGTGGTGCAGTGTCGGGGGCGCGTGAGGGGTGACACGCCAGCTGTGTGTGCACTGCCGCGCCGCGGCCCTGGTGGGAGTCCGCGGTCCCGCCCTGGTGCCAGCCCCTCCTCCGGCCCCGCGGCGGGTCTGCCAGGGGCACGGGCACGAGGGTGTCCTCACGGTGTGCCCCCCGAGGCCGGCCCGTGTCTTCTCTGTGTGTCTGTGGCCCACCAGGCCCCTCGGGTCCAGCACGCTGGGCCCTTGCACAGGCAGAAGAGGCTCCGGAGCCTCCCACGCCTGGGGTCTTGTCCTGCACAGGCCCGGGCTCCGCCGGAGGGGAGCCGCTCCCGTGTGGATCTGGGTGTCGCGAAGGGGTCATGGACTGGCTGTGTCGGCCTCCACGGAGCTTGTCCCTTTGAGCCCATGGTGTCCTCTGGTTAGTTGACCAGGGGCACCCCCCCCCCCCGCCTGCGGGATTTAACCCCCACGGTGCTGTGGGAGGGACCACCTGCCCCAGCAGCAGGGAGACTGACCTCCAGCCCAGGCCCCGCTGACCTTGGTGCGTCCTTGGCTCCGCCCAGTGTCTGTCCTGCTGCCTGACCCCTCTCTGGGGCAGTCGGCCTATTCTCCACAGGCTGGTGGCCGGCCAGGGGGGTTAGCGGACAAAGGGTGCAGCCCGGGGCCAGTGGGGTGTCAGTCCCTGACCTCTGACTGGGATTGGGGCAGAGGGTCTGGGTGGAGGGGGAGCCAGGGCGCTTGCTTCCCGCTGCTCCGCCGGGGGAGTCCCTGCCTCAGGGGCGGAAGGTTGCTGCCTTCCGCGGGCCCCCCCGCGCCCCTGCTCTCTGAGGTCTTGCCCCAGGCCCCCCTTAGCCTTCCCGCAGGCCAGGCAGCCCCTCACACCAAGGTGGGTCTTCGGGGCCCGGCCCAGAGCCGTGACCCCTGGCCCTGCCCGCGAGCAGGGGTGGGCGCTGGCCGCGCCGGAGTCCTGGCTCGGGCGGAGGGATCCGGCGCGCGCGCGCGGCCGCTGCTGCAGGGCGCACATGAAGGTGAGGCTCGTTCAGTTACTACTGGTGGTATTTTTATACCATAACCTACTTTGCTGGGAGCTAAGAATATAGCTTCGTTTGCTACCTGCGCTCCTTCTCCTCTGGTGACGGTCGCCAGCGGTTACCCGGCGCCCGGTGCACGAGGCGCGTGCTCTGCAGTCGCCGCCAGTTTGGAGGGAGCGGAGGGGCACCCGGACCTCTGACCCCGGCCGGCCGCACAGCCGCCCCGCGCTGTGAAAACGCTGTGCGTCCGTCCGCTGCGGGCTCCCGCCCGCTCCTGGTCCTCCGACCCTCCGCTCCCCGGGCCCCGCCCGTCCTCGGCGGCGGGTCCTCGCGCCGCCTTCGCGCCTCCCCCACAGGGGGCGCTGTCCTCGGCGCCCCTTCCTGGTCTCGCCACGGATCGGCCCCCACTCTGCCCCCATTTGGGACCCGCGAGGCTTGGCATTTTATTTTATTAATTAAACGACAAGGACAACTTCATCTTGTGAAAAAAAAAAAGCCACACACGCGTGTGTGCCGTGAACGTGCCGCTCACACCCGCGTCTCCTCCCTCCCCAGGGCAGCCGCCGGGCGCTGTCGTGCCAGGGCAGGGCCCTGGTGTCCGTGCCGCGCCCGTGCGTGAGCAGACCCACGAGGGCAGGTCACGCACACACACGGCTCTGGAAACGCAGGTGGCGTCCCACCACCACACACGTGATGCTGTCGGGCCCCACACGGCAGGTATTTCCTGCGGGCTCTCAGAAGCAGGGACACGCGTGTGCGTGTGGGGCCTCTCCTCCGACGAGCATGACAGAGGCTTGAGGGGCCCCGGGTTTGGAGGGGAGGCTCCCGGCGGTCAGGGGGGCGCGACTGCAGGGCTCTGCCCTTGGTCAGGAGCGCGGCCCTCCCCGTGGGGGGTGGAGGCCCTGCGGGGGGGCGCCCAGGGGGAGACGGCATCGTCGGGCGTCCTTCCTTCTACCCGAGAGAGGGTCCCGCAGAGAGCGCTCCCTGTCCCGTCCGCGCCGAGACCCCCGCCAGCCGCGGGCCCTGCCGGCCGGACCAGGCGGAGGGGAGAGGCCTCGTCTCGCCCTCTGCCCCCGAGGCCGCCTGGTCCCAGGCCAGGGACCGGCCTTCCCGGGGATCTCAAACACGTCCTCAGAAATGTAATTCCCTCCCGGTCTGCCTGCCGCAAAGACGGGGTCTGGTCCGACGGCTTGAAAGCGTCTTTCGCCGGCCGCCGGCAGCTGCCCGGCTGGTGCGGAAACCTCAGCGCGGGACGTGTCGCCGAGGGTCTCCGAGGACCGCCG